TCTTCTGTGCAGACTTCACCACTCTCTGCAAAGCTTTTCTTTCTGCAGCTGTGCAGCCTCCATGCCACACATTGATGCTGGAGCACAGGATGCTCTCCACTGCACACCTGCAGAAGGAGGTGAGGACTGAGCTTCCCAGACCAGCTCGTCTCAGCCTGCTGAGGAAGAAGAGTTTCTGATGATCTTTCTTGATCAGGCTGGTGGTGTTGTTGCCCCAGATGAGGTTGTTGTTCATGTGTACACCCAAGTACTAGTAGCTGGAGACCACTTCCACTGCAGATCCTCTTATGTTCAGGGGGTGTAGGTGTGTTTGTTCCTTCTGAAGTCCACAACCATCTCCTTCATCTTCTTCACATTGATGTGAAGGTTGTTCTGCTTGTACCAGCTCTCCAGGTGTTCCACCTCTTGCCTGTAGCTGGACTCATCATTGTTTGTGATGCATCCCACCACCGCTGTATCATCTGCAAACTTTACAATGTGACAGCCTGGATGGGTAGCTGCACAATTATCTGTGAGCAGAGTGAACAGGGGAGGGCTCAACACACATCCCTGAGGGGAGCCAGTACTGAGGGTTTTGGTGGAGGAAAAGAAGTTGTGGATCTTCACTAACTGTGGTCTGTTTGTTAAATAGTCTAGGACCCAGTTGCAAATGGAGGGGCTTAGTCCTAGTGTGAATAGTTTGTCCATCAGGGTTTGGGGGATCATGGTGTTGAAGGCAGGCGTGAAGTCCACAAAGAGCATATTCTGATATGGACGTAGGAGTCCTGCTCCAGGTTGGTGAGAGCAGTGTGGACCACAGAGGAAATGACATCCTCTGTTGATCAATTCTCACGGTATGCGTACTGGTGAGGTTCCTTGTTGATGTTGATGGTTTTGATGTGGGTCGTGACCAGTTTTTCAAAGCATTTAGCGACTATCGGGGTGAGGGCTACTGGCCGATAGTCATTTACAGTTTCAAGGATCAGATATTTTTTACTTAAATGTTTCTTCTAACTGTGGACAACGTATAGAACATATTCTCAAATTCAAACTTTGACATTCTCAGTACTGTACAGATTAGGAGCAGTTTTTGTTTTTTGCTGAATGAGGCTTTTATATGACACATGAAAAGATGAAATACACTTTGCTGTACATTTTGTAGTCTGATCATTGAAACTATATGTTTTGTAATGAACATTACAGTGAAATGATTCATATTCTGCATGCTGTGGTTGAGTATAAACTTTGCTTTGATCATGTGAAGCCAAAACCAACTTGCTTTTCATTTTGACTCGTTAGAACAAACGGTACTCTTTGTTTTTAGATGTCAAATCCTCTTTGTTTTCATTCCAAGAAGAGAATAAAATTTTAAATAATGTCTTATGTCCAGCACAAGGATAATAGAATAAAGACAAAAATGGAACACAGTACAATGCAAAACAGAGCCAAAAGTTAAAAAGTAACAAAAGTTGTCAATACCCAAAGTAAAACTCAATTGAAAATATTACAAAAAGAAAATTCTTGAGTTCTGCATGACTTTGCTGAAGCTTTTGTTAAAAAAGTTTCTGTTGAGTTATTAAATCTAATAGATTGGAGAGTCTGAGTTTAACAAACCACGAGTTCTTACTTCAAGAACAATTTTACAAATAATGTTCTTCACAAGAAGAGAACCATGTTTTAAGAAAGGCATATCTTGGGCATTTATGTTTTCCCTATGCTTACACATGGTTTAGCATATTGGCAACCTTTTTTATACAAGTCAAGCATTATGAGAACTATATAAATTACAGTATCGTCTGCATACGATTGAATTTTACAATTAGCTGCAGATGAAAGATGCCTGATATAGAACATAAATAATGGCTGAATGTTGAATCTTTGTGGAACACATGTTAACAACTTGCCAACAGATGATTTATGAATTTGTATGCCAACAACCAATTTCAACAATATAAGTGCAAAGGCATGTAAGAAAAACATAAAGCTAGAGATTTGGGATATCATTCAGTTTTATTTATTCATTTTCTATAAAAAAGAAACCGTCCAGATGATTCGACTGAGAATTATTGGATTTGGTATCTGGATGATTGAGCATGAACTTTGTTGCCTTGAACCACTTTGGCTGTGGCTGCCTGCCTGGGAGGAGTCGAGAAGGGACAGGATGGCCCCCCAGAAACCATATTAGCTCCAGCAAACTGGTTGGTCCACTTAAAGAGTTTACTGCTTGGTGGGGAAACAGTTTACTGAAAACCTGGACAGTTTCTTTTTTTTATAGAAACGTTTCGCCCTCTATCCGGAGGGCTTCATCAGTCAGAGATGACCCGACTGAGAATTATTGGTTTTGGTACCTGGATGATTGAGCATGAACTTTGTTGCATTTGGTTTTAGATTTACTGTAAACTTGCACAAAGTCCCAGTTCTGTATTCCAGCATTTGATTTGTGAATATCTAGCCTTCAGTAGGATCAGAATATTTATTATCTTATGCGAACACTGCATGTTTGAGTCAGAGACAGAAGAGCACTGTTCTAAATGTCCAAACATTCACAGTTCACACAAAGTTGTATCAAAGTTTTAGGATTCGAAGAAGCTGCCACCTTATCAGAAAAACAAATCCTCGTCTCTTCCTTTAACTCTCTGCCTCGGAGGCTGGACAAAGATAAGCAGAGACAATATGTCAAGGTGTACAGGAGGAGATAGGCCGGGAGCAGCCAGGCAGAGTTATGCTTCTGCAGGCAGCTGAGCTTATTAGATATGTGAACAGTGCTGGAATAACTTCAACAGTTATTATTGTTGCAAATTTGGTAATAAATGCCAAAATTTCAAAATATTTTAAGGCAAAAAGTAGAAAACACACATTACAATATAGATAGAGCATCTTTAATTCAAGGGGTTCTTTAAAAATGGCTTCAGAGCATAACATTCTAAACAGCTCAGATTGGTGACAAATACCTTTTCAACCTTCACCTCCCTCTTTTCTGATACAAAAACCCACTCCTGGCTGTATTTATTTTCAGGTGTATCAGCTTTCAAAACGTGTCTCACACTGCAAGCAGTGGAAATTAGAAACACACTTCAACCGTTGTTCTCATGTTCCCTGGTTTTAAAACAAACCTCCACATAGTTTCAGAGAAAAATAAAAAAAGGCCAGTGACATGGAGTGTATTGACTTCACCAGGAGGCATGTTGAGGAAATCGGAGTCCCAGTTTTGAAAGGCCTCTTGGAGGTCTTTTCCCTCCAGTGGCGTAGATGTTGCTTAAATAACAACGGGCGCTGTCTTTGCCTGTGGCTTCATTAACCGAAGGCGGGGAAACGACCCTTGAAATAACAAACCCACAGCTCTGAAACTGAACTCGAGTGTCCCCCAAACTGCATTCATCTCTGTTGATCAGAAACATACAGACAAGATACGGATGACTTGAAAACTGAGGTGTTTTAAAAGTCGTTAAAGCAAAACTCGAAGTGTAATAATCAAAGCAAACGAGTTATTCAAAATACAAACTGCTTTTCACTTTCTAAATAAATACATTTCAAAAATACATGAACATTTCTCATCACTTTGTATTATTGTGAAAACCAACAACAATAAATTGTAAAAGCAGCTGTTTAAAAATGTTACTTTAACTCACACAGTAGTTTTATTTTACTTAAATCCCCCATAATTCTTCCATTCTCCTATAAAAACAATCTTGGCTTCATGTTTTATTTTTAAACTATGAAACAAAAGCTGCTTCTAATAGTGCAGGGAGACATGACGCAAAGATTTCAACAACTCAAATAAAAAGAAACAATAAAGAGCGTAGATGAAGGATTTATAAAACACAGTTATTGCATATCTGAGGTGGAGATTTCCACCTCCTGCAACAGTTGCATATTGCTTAGTGAGGAGAGGCAGGAGCACTGATGGGAACAGAACAAGACTCGGAAAACGGTGTTAAAGTTCAGGTAAAAAGTCACAGTTGGAGGAAAAGCCCTGGGCATAGTTTCTTTTAGTACCGAGAGTAAATCTGATATAATATAATAACGTCAAAATCAGATTTTAAGAGGATAAAAATAAGGGTTAAACGTATAAAAACTTGGGGTGGGGGTTCTAATCTATTTTTTGATGTGTCACAATATGAACGGTTCAGAAAAGATTTAAAAATGTCTAAAACTGATGAATATTTAATAGAAATAATGGCATAATGAGAAGCGCAAAAGGTGGAACTTGAAGTGCGGAAACGAGACAAGAACTAACTGAGTCATATAAATAGCTCATGCTAAGTATTCGGAGTATTTTGGCTTCTATGAAGAGAAAATTAACGCTGGCTGGAGCCACATCAAGTTGTGCACATTTTCAATTAAAGGAGGGAAACTAAAGCTTCTAGCTGCTGCTGCTAACCACAGAGGATCATCGATGGAGCGATGATAAAATCTCTACCTAACCCGGAAAAAGACATGAATTACAAATTTCTTTGCAACTTTTTGTGAAGGATTAGCAGCCACTGGTTGAAAACCAGGACTGGTGTATTTTGTTTCACCGTTTGGAGCCACAAGAAAACATGATCCTAAGAGCCGTTACCCAATCTGATGGGACCTAAAAGACCCACTAATATATAAAGCAGGTAAAGTGGAGGATGTACTACACTGTTTCTGACCAGTTTTATTATATATAATTATGTATATATATTTTAGGCTCAGGGTTTAGTTTAAAGTGTGATTATGGGCGTAACAGTAATTGTTTTGTAATCTGAATTTTGAGGCACCTAAAGATAGTTTTAAAAGTAAAACGTGATAAAAACAATGTAGATAATTTAAAGAAAAGTCAAATTGTAAAAATAGTCAGAATGGCATTAAGTTTCTAGAATACAATCTTAAAAAGACAAATAATGGTATCTGTGAGTTTAAATATAATATTAATTTATGATGTTTTTAATTTATATAAATATACTATTTATAATTGTTTTAAAAAAAAACTACATTGTTTCATTTCTGACTTTGTTTTCATAACAAAACAACTTTAAACCTGGAGTTCTTGTTCCATCAAGTGTGTTCCTAAATCATCTTCAATTATCCCAGCCAAAGAAACGTCCGGTCATCTGGTAGAACTTCATGTTGAAGGGTCTGTAGAAGTCCCGTAGCCTCTGGACCACCTCAGGATCAATGTTCGGATGGGTTCGCCCTTTGGTTTTTCCCAGGCAGTGGGGCTTGCTGCTGCCCTCTGCTTTCTTCAGGCACGGGAATCCCTTAGTCTGGTTGAAGTAAAAGTGTTTGTCTGTGATGATCCTCTTGAGGCCCAAGAAGTCCTGGACCCGGCCCAGCTCTCCGGCCGGGTCGCTGATCAAACGCTCGCCGCTCACAAAGAGGATCTGGTCCATGGGGAAGTACTGCAGCCAATTGTCCAGGTGTTTGGCGTAGATGCCAATCTGGATGGCGCTCCACGAGGTGTCGATCAGACCCGTAGTCCTGTTTTTGAAGGTGAGGCTCTCAAAAGAGGGAATATCAGGCTTTTTGGACAGAGTCTGGGTGTAGTCTGAGATAGCTCTGGTTACCGGGTCCCTCACTACCACGATTAGTTTGGTGTCCCGGGACATGGCGGAGATCCTCGCTGGAGCTTCTCTGGTCACAAAGTAGCTGGGGGTTTTCTCCATAGTGATCTGGCCCTCCAGGGTTTTTGGCATCAGATCCCTGAGAGACAGGAAATGAGAATTTATTTGACCGTCAGCTTTGACTGAAGAGTTTTTTAGAGCAAACAAATCATTTTTATATCGATAAATATTCCAACTGGATGAACTTCAATCCAATCAATCAAGAACAACACTGGAAAGTTGCAGTTGTATATAGGCACACAAATGATAAAAAAAATATAAAATATCCTTTTGTGATTGGAAAAAAAGCACAAATCCCCAACCCTGTCACCTAAAAACCCCTTTGTTTGGAAATTGGTTTTATTTCCTTATTAGTAAAAACACATTTTTAGTAAAAAGTACATCAATTTTTTTAGGTAATAGTAAACATCCACTCTTTGTTATTCCCTCCTAACTTTTACTTCTAATCATGCTGCCTTTGCTGCACCTTCGAAGTAGGAACCTGCAAATTATTTTTGACACGTAAGATATTTTAAGCATAACAAAGAAATGTTTATACACTTTTATGGATAAAAACCTTGACTTTCAGCTTGTTGTCTGGCCAGACCAAAGACACTTTGATTATTTATCACCGAATGAACCATCAATGAATAACTAATATAAAAAAGGTTTATTATCTAAAATGGGATCATGTGAGCAACAGTTATTTACACTGGCTTCTAAAAATGTAAGGAAACTTCAATAAATGGCTAAATTTCAGTAAAGTTCTTCAACACACATTTTTGCACAAATTGTGATTTCTGTATTTTGAAACAAAATATAAATGTTACAGATTATTTAATGTGTTTATCCCAATGAAAATAATCCCTTCACAACCACATGGTTCCACTAAAATAGCTCCTTCAATTAAAACACAATTTGTTTTTGTCGATTGAATTTTTTATTTTTCTCACTCCTCTTTTGCCACGTTCCCTCTGCTCAGCCGCCGTGAGGACAGTGACCTTAAGCAAAGCGGGTAAAAGTAGCTCATGAATGATTAACAAAACCCTCCCTCTACCATTTAGCATCTCTGCAGAATAGAGTTTTAAAATTCACCAAAGTACAGAATGCAAACGTCAATTATTTATCTGCTCAGTTGGTGCTGCTTCACCGCGAGGACGGACAACGGCTAAGTGGCCCAGGCTGCTCTGGGGGTAAACAAAAGTTTGCCACCTGTGACAAAACTGTTGAGACTCCAAAGGAGGGAACATCTCTAAAAGATTCTCGAGACTTCTCCGTGCTTCATTGTGGTTCAGAGGATCACCCATCGGCAAACGCCAACACGTACGATCAAAGGACAGCTTCCAATTGCCAGTAAGAAAGAGACGCCGTCATTGCTCTGAGGCTGGGAGGAAATCATGCTCCGTTTAATGGACACGGAAGAAAACGAGGCGCTGAGATGTTTGCTGTGACTGAGCGTTACACAAACTCACCTCATTTTAAAGACACTAACTGTCAGGACGAATGTGATCTTTTTTGTACTTGCCAACACAAACTCTAATTATCGCCACAACCATAAAAAACACAAAAATGGCTATAACTATATAAATTTTATATATTTTGAATTAAATTGATTCCCAACACACATTCTAAGAATTAACAGATTGCACAATACCATCCATCCATTATCTTTTATCTGCTTCTAGTGTTGTAGTCAAGACCACCTAACCCAAGACCGTCAAGACCAAGACCAGAGTGTACTGAGACCAAGTCAAGACCAAGACCGAGGGAGGGTGAGACCAAGTCGAGGCCAAGACCTCATGTCTTGGAGCTCAATCTTTTCACAGATTATCTGTACTGGCTTACTTTCACTCCTGGTTGTGACATTACGTTCTGTTGTCTGTATTGTTCTGTTGGTACAGAACCACGTGCGAGTGAAAGGGGGTGGGCATGACAGCGGTAACGAAAACATGTATTTAGCAATGAGTCACGTTAATGCTTGGATTTGAATCAGTACATTTTGCATCCAATAAAAACAAAGACGTTAACAAATAAACTGGACAATATTCTAGAAATTTAGTGATATTTCCACAGTTGTGGTCTTGAAATGAAATCCCGAGTCCTCAATGTTCGAGACCAAATGAGGTCGAGTTCGAGACAAGACCAAGACCATCAAAAGCCGGTCTCGAGTACTACAACACTATCCGCTTCTTCCTTTTCAGGTCACAGGGGTCACTGGTGCCCATGTCCAGCTATCACTGTGCGAGAGGCGGGGGACACCCTGGACAGGGCTCCAAACCAAAACAAACCAATTCAAGATGGCTCCCACAGCTAACTGATACTAGAAACCCCCAAATGGCTTTCATTAAGTTTAGAAAAAATAGGGACAGTGAATTTAACAAGTTAAAGTATTAATTATGTAACACCAAGTATTTCTGGAAGTGGAGATTTCCCCTTAGCTGAAAAAAACAAATTCTGTTGAGACAAAAACCTCAAACCTCCAACAAACCATGACATAAACGTGTCAAGAAAATTTATCACAAAAGCATTTGTTTAGCAAAATGTCATTGTTAGATTGTAAATAATGTTGGGGTGTTGGTGTAAACCTTTTGTTTGTGTTTTTTGGAGGAACTCATTTAAGCAACAACTTTAAGGTTTTATAAAACATTGAACAAGTTTAAGTACTTCATTTTGGACACCTTTTGGACTGTCTGGTTTCACTGCATGTTGAATAATTCCACAGATGTACTAGTTTAGGGAATAAGTAGTGACACCAAAGAGTTCTGATAAACCAGAGAAGGATAAGTGACAATGGACTGGGTCTGCCATTATCACCCAATTTCCTTTTATTGCTGTCAATGAACCAGATTTCCATAGTCATTAAAAGAGAAATGAGGCTTCAAAATAAAAATAAAACTTATACAATCTGATCTGATAATGTATACATTAAAGGCCAATGTTGAAAGTACAATAGTTGGGGCCAAAGGTAAAATAAACCTTAATCGATGAAGTGATGCTCAGGTATGTCTTCATCAGTTCTTCTTATAATTACTCCAGGCTTTTAGACATTTCGAGGCTCAGAATATGAAGTGAGCCAGATTTTCAGGCTAATGTCAGAACAAATCCAGTCACAGAGGTTTAGTGGATCTTCTCTTGGAGGAGCAGCCCATGAGGTCAGGAAATGGTTGATACCAGCAACAGCATTAACAAATGTGCACCCACATGTCGACATCAGCCTGCATCACTGACCATCATTCAACCTGAAGAGTCCTCAGTATCTGGGACGTTTGTGTAAAGAGGAACCTAGACTAGGCTCCTTTCATCTCATATTAGGCCTGCCTCATCACACCTACGGTCCCGAGTGAATCGTACGATGGTACTTTAGAAAAAAAACAATACCTGGGGTTAAAACAGTTACCAAGCTGGCAATAACAAAATGGAATGTAGTATAATTATTGATAAACCGAGGACACCAAACATGCAGGGAGTCTGAATGTCTAATTTGTGATCAAGCTGATTTGGGAGCAACTTGAGCTCATAAAAGCTACATCGTCTCATTGTAAATGAGGACTTTATTGTGTTATGAAAAAGAAATGAGTCTGTACTAAGGGAAGCATCCATATTTGATGGTGGGCATCAAGCTTGTTCTGTGGTTGATGCTCTTGCAGCAGTGATGCAGTTAACCTGGGAACTTGGGGGTTCTCAGGGAGGTACGGTATGTTGTGATCGGGACAACATAAAGTCAGCTTTGTTTGGAAATATAGAAAGTTAAACAACTCGTGTATTCTGCTTGGTGCAAATTTTTAAGGTTTTGGGAGTGCATTTGTGAAATGCACCTGAGATTCCATCCATCCATCATCTTTTACCCGCTTCTTCCATTTTGGGTCACAGGGGTCGCCGGTGCCCATGTCCAGCAATCACTGTGTGAGGGGCCTTGCCATGATTTCTAATTCCTCTTTTGAGCTTGCTATAAGGGTGGTATTGTCTGCAGAGTGGATGTTCCAGAAGGTTCGACCACCTATGATACATTCACTTCTCTCTGGGAGTTCTTCCACCAGTCTCATGATGTTTTCACCAATGGTATGGAACAAAAGAGGTGAAAGCAAGCAACCTTGCCTTACTCCTTTTTTGAGCTGAAAGCTGCCTGTGTGTTCTTCTTCAACTCTTAACTGTCCCCTAAGCATTCTTGACCAATCCATACAGTGTTTCCAATACTATCATCCAAGGAGGGTGCCCCGCCCAGTCAACAGAACCTAGCACACTGCCTACCGAAATGTTCTTCAACCACAACTCTGCATTTTGAAAGACTAATAAGTTTTGCTACATCAAAATGTGAACAATGAATCACTGGAGTGAATCACTAACACCAAGAACTGCGTTTAATGTTGAGATTCTCCTTTTTCCCCCCACTTATATATAAAATCCTTGTTTTAAGTGTTTGATTCTTTCCTCACCCTGCTGTCTACTCTCCATGTTTGTATTTTCAGTCAATGCAGCTTTTAACTTTTGCTTTTCTTTGTGTTTCTTCCCATAAAAAAACACACCTGGACCCTTCCTCCTGTGTTTGTCTCTTTCCTGTCCTCTCAAACTCCAGCAGGTCAAGGCAGATGTCTGCCCACCCTGAGCCTGGTTCTGCTGGAGGTTTCTCCCTGTTAAAAGGGAGTCATTCCTTTCCACTGTCATCAATGTGCTGCCAAGGATGGGGGATTGTGATTAAGTGAAGATTTAAGGCAATCTGCTGGCATCCTTAAACAGATAACTTTTACCTTTTTTTTTTTTTACATGTACATACTGTATGTGAATGTGTTGTATTTCATTAAGATTAAATTTACTCTATTTAGATTTGGATTTTTGATTGTACTAGTTTTGTCTTTTGTTTAGTGACCTGAGATGACTTGTTGTGAATTGGTGCTATTTAAACTGAACTGAATAGAAAAACAGACTGGGTTGGATGAAAAGGCCAGTTTTTCGTACAAAAACGTTTAGTGTTTTCATAAATGAATGTTATTTTTAAAATATATCAATTTATTTTAACTCCTGAAAGTACCTACTGCACAATAAGGATATTGCTCAAAAAGACAATGTATTTCTCGGTTTTCTTTTATCTATTCAGTGAAAGAT